TACCTGCAGGCCAGTTCCTGGGTGCTGGAAGCACAGCTGGATTGGCCATGAATATGGCAAGAGGCTAAGCCAGAATCCTCTTTACATCCTACTACTCTGTGTTGGAATGAAACAAACAATCGACTGATCCTGTTTGTCCAGAGGGAGGATTGCACGAGTGTGCTCTAGACGGCTTTCGTCGATCGTGTCGTCTACGGTAGGGTTGCCTACTGCAATGGCCCTGATCGGCCCAGTTGCATTCAAGGACCCTGATCGGTCCGAGCCCTGATCGGCTTCAAATCAAACCAAGACCCTTTGGCCTCGCTTCAGCAAATACTCTTCGGAGTTGTCATGCTTTCGCCTTGGGCATGATCGCCTAGTTTTCGACGGGACTAAGTATCTGTTTTGTCACAGCAATGCCCCTGATCGGCCCAGTTGCAGTGAAGGACCCTGATCGGTCCGAGAATGTTCTCCCCTGGACACCACTCAGATTCACAGCTGTCACATGATCCAGAAGACTGCGCCAATTGCTGTGCCAGAAACGGAACAATGGGGGTATCATTGGTCGTCACACCCACGCTGCTCTCTTAAACGCCCTGGCTGTTTCAGCTGTCGGTCGGCAAGCACCGCAGGGCTGCGGCATTTTGGTAAGACCTGCGAACTGTGGATGCTTGACCGTATTAACAGGACATGCGCTGCAGGGCTGCGGCATTCTGTAAGACCTGCGAACTGCAAGCGCAGTCCTCTAACGGGGTTTGAAGTGCCCAATGTGGGCCACCCCTTATTTGTCTTTTCTTTTTCCGCATGTGTCATTTCGCAGTCACAGTTCCTTTCTATTTCAATGCTCGCAGCCAGAGAAGTTTTTTAAGCCCGAAGGGCGGCCTCCAGCTGCAACTCCTTTACTTTTCGTTTCCGTTACTTTTCTTTTAAGGCTACACAGCCAACCGCCCGCCCTCCTGCAAACATCTGTCTTTTCTTTTTTCTTTTCTTTTTCCGCTTCCCTAATGCAAAGCAAGGGCCGAGCACAAAAGCCTGTTGGCTACCCCGCAAAGCGGGGTGTGTGTGTGGAACACCTGTTTGCCAAGGTTTCAATGATTCATTCGTATACTTTCATGCAGGGGGCGCGGGGTCCTCTGACACAGCTCGCGCCAACGAAGCTCTGTGTCAGATGGACAGGCAAACGTACCTGCAGGCCAGTTCCTGGGTGCTGGAAGCACAGCTGGATTGGCCATGAATATGGCAAGAGGCTAAGCCAGAATCCTCTTTACATCCTACTACTCTGTGTTGGAATGAAACAAACAATCGACTGATCCTGTTTGTCCAGAGGGAGGATTGCACGAGTGTGTGAGTGTGTGTGTGTGTGTGTGTGTGTGTGTGTATGTGTGTGTGTGTGTGTGCGTGTGTGTGCGTGCGTGCGTGCGTGCGTGCGTGCGTGCGTGCGTGCGTGCGTGTGTGTATGTGTGTGTGCTTCGGGGGCTGTAACTGTGATGGAAGGACTACTAACGCCACGACAAGTTGTGCAGTCGTAAATCGCGTCCTTGAGCATCTAGCTTGGCTGTATTTACTGCACTTGACTTTCTACGTCACGTGTGATTCAGCATGTCTGGATTATGCACGCATGAGTGCAGTCAGTGTTTCTGGAGTCCAACCAGAAGTACAAACAAGCGGCGGCAGCACAAACATTTGCTCGGTGGTGGGCAAGCTCGTTGACCTTTGTCGCGCAGTCCGGCATGGCATGACTGCCTTTATGTGGGTGGTTCTGTTCTGAGGGTTGTAGGCAGGTTACGTCACCGGGAGTCAGCCCCAGAGCCGACTCAAACACAAACGCTTGATCATCCAGCTTCGAACACTTCAACTCTTCGTAAGAAATCCCTGTACACTCGTATAGTATAGCTTGTTGTCATGTTCCCGTCCCTATCTGCCTCAAAACATATAAGCCCGGACAACTTTAAGTCCTGCCTGTTGAGACCCTCCCTGTCTCTAATGTCAAGGCCTTAATGATAATAGAAGCTTTTTGGGTATATTGCAATACGATAAGAATCAGACACCCGAAGCAATAAAAGCAATATTAGCAAGTATTCAGGTCTTCCATTACGGTCACACCGCAATGCATCCGAAAGTCTGTGGTCAAGTGCGAGATCCGCAGGGAATTGTTGGCCACCGCACCTTGTCAAGGCGGCTCAAGGTTGCAGGATTTCTGGCTACTGGTAGAAATTGCAACACGTTGAAGAAAATCCCGGAACGACGGCGATTACGACTTCCGCAGTTTTGGCGGACATCGGGGCGTTGGGACTTGGAGGTTAAGATCCTACACCCTATAGAGTTTCTTTTGGGGAGGTGCTCAGCACAGACCTTTGCCTATCGACTGGGTTGCCAGATGATGCCAGATACCAGAGACTGCTCAGGCAGCTGTAACACTTATGGAACAGATGCCGCATAATGTCACGTGAGAGCATCGGGAGCCGGTGCAAGACGCCTAAACCTACAGCTACAACCTTCCCCAAAGCATGCTGCAGTGCAGTGGGCTTGTAGTGCTGTCGGGCTCTGGAGTCAAAACTCTCCCTGTCGACAGGGCTACAACTTTCCATGGAGCCTCTCTCTCTCTTTCTCTCTATTTCTGTCTCTCTCTGAACCCTGAACCCGAATCGAACCCCTAAAGAATCGACCAGCAAAGTTTGGAGCGAAGCAGTCTAGGCACCGTAGGCCGCAAGTGTGGCTTGCCAGCCAGTGCACGCCTCACCAGGGAGGCGATAGTGAGAGTTTGAGGAAGCTTGAGGCTCAGGGTTCTCGGTTGAGGGCTCTTAATGTTGAAAGGAAAAGACAAGGGCAATTGGGCGCCAACGCACTGACGATGTTGGCTCGTCGGAGTAGGGAACCGCCCCCCTCAACTAGCAAATCCTGAGAAGCACAAAAAAATCCTGTTAAACATTAAACCTCGAATATCCCCTACCATATACAGTTGAGTACCAAGGGCATCCTTGTTGAATCGGAAAACCGTGACAAGGCGCTGATTTTCCTCATGTGCGCCGTTGCTAAACTCCGACTGTGACCATAGATCCTCCGCCCTTGGAGCGAATTTTTAACATCGTAAGCATTAGACCCTAAGTTCCAGAAAAGCTTCCTGGCCTGGCTGGCGCAGGCCAGGAGCATCAGCCCGTAGAAGCCTTCCATCCTGGAAGGCTGCTCGCGACGCCCCCGGGTTAGAAGCTGTGGCTATAATACTGGATGGTGTAGCTTGCTTGATCAAATTCTACAAACATATGCGGAATGTAGTGCAGCTAAAAACACGGAAATGGCAGCTGTGCAGATTTGTGCACACAAGAACCGAACAACATGTACGTGAAGTGATGGCGTCTGCATACATACTTACATACTTACATACATGTATATATCCAGGCAGGCAGGAAGAACAGGCATGCATCCAGACAAGCAAACCAAGGAACAGACCTATGGCCAGGGAGTGTGTCGGCGGGCGGGCCGACGGACGGACGGGCGGACAGCTGCAACAAAGCCAGCTGATGTCTTCTGGGTGCAGCTGCACTGTTGCATTGACTTTGTGAGAAAGCTGCTGCAGCTGCAGATCCCTCTTGACAGCTGACTGCGAACTAATAGAATCAGAACAACGGCCAGAAACAGCCCAGCGTCCGGAATGCCACGATCTGGACGATGATGTTGACCTCTGCTTGGGTTCCATATCTAGACTTCAGAGTTGAGGGTTTGGAGTGCACGCCTTGATGGAACATTACCGAATTTTGTTCGCTTGTGGGATTCGCGACTGCAACATTGCAATGCTGTACGCTACAGGGGTTTGCGTTGAATTCTCACACTCCAGGGACAAACTAGTCGGAAGTCTGAGATGCATGCGGAACCCAATCGTGTCAGATGCATCCTGTTACCATGCAGGAAGCTTTCAGAATGCGACAGATGGGATGACAGCCCTAAAGAACCTCCAGGCGTGTGAGCGCCTCTCTGGAGGAAGATTGGTGTGGCAGGCGTGGAGTTTCAATCAATCTTACGAGCCAGGATTTCCACGTCGTCTAATGAGATGGAGGGACATACGTCTAATTCCGGCAAGCCTTTGTTACATGAATGACGTGCTTAGCCGAAACCTACCATGCTGCATGACATGTTGTGAAGTGCATGCCGTCGCCTTTGAAACTGCCTGCTGCTGCTTGCTACAGAAAACAGGTTTCGAATTTATTGCCAGGGTTCGTTCTGAAGCTTCGGGTTGCGGAAATTCGAATTGACAGGTGAATGCCTCGGCCGCAACCCCTGCAAATGCAGCAGGAAGTCGGGCATCGCCTACATCTCCGATAACCGATAACCGAAACCAATGCCTAAATCTCTTGAGCCCTAAGGCATAAACTCAAATTCCAGCGAAGTCGAGGTGCAACTGAGGGCAGCCCCGCCGACACGAAGCCTTGTCCCAATCCCTGCCTGGGTTTAGTGTTTCAGGGTTTTCAAGGCTTTACGGATTTCGCGCTTCAGTGTTTCGGGATGTCAAGGCCATGTAGGGGTGCAGGGCTGGAGGATGCAGTGTCGGTCGCAGAAGAGCTGCTGCTTCCGGACCATCCAGCGCCACGACTCTGGATCCAGCATTTCGGGGTGAATGCAAGGGCCTCTTTGGGTCTGGGTTTCACTTGCCCGGGGCTCGAACGCAGGGTTCCAGTTTTTGTAGCTAAAACATCCAAGTGCCACAGGATGGGCTCAGGACTTGGGGTTCTGATTTTCTGCGCAGTCCTGGAATCTCTGAGTTCTTTTGATGCTCACACAAGGACAATGCCAGAAGGTCTGGACCCAACAGATTCGAGAAACAATCCATGTGCAGATACAAACCCAAAGATGCTTTGCCAATGCCGGTGCGCAGGTGATCCCCGATGCTTGCCACCCCTGCACCCGAAATCTGCACTGCAGTTTAAGCCCATGAATAAACCCATCGATGACTTATCAATATCCTCAACCGGGACAAGTTGCAGAATGACCTGGATCGGTCCGAAGTGAGCGTCCTGGCGCCGGATTGATCAGGCGCTGTCGGGGTGCTTGGCTTCGGGGTTCAATACGCTGTCGAAGGGCAGCCTTTCAAACAACATCTCGAACGGAGAGACGAATACAGGATTCTGCAGATTCTGCAGGTGAGGGACCCTCCTCCTCGATTTCAGAGACACGAAGTTGGTAATATGGGGCTTGCAATTCTTTCCTAGTAAGTATCAAATTTGAAAACAGCCCTGGCCTAAGCAACAGAAATTGGCCACAGGCTGTCCTGCGCCAGCCACTGCACAGGGTAGCAGTTCACCGACGTGAAGAACTCGCAGATGGAAGCACACAGCTCCTCAGTGTTGGAAAGGATCTCTGGAAAGATGCCATCATCGCTAAGCCCTCACATCAAGGGCACCTCGGATCTAGGGCGAAGCATGGCGAAGGCTCTTAATTCGACTGCTGATTAGGGGGGGCACTTCTGGCAAAGATTTCCTAAAACAGCATGTTGAGGGGAGGTCCGAAGCAATTATCTTGGCAGGATTCAGAAAAGTAGATTCCTTGCCATAGATGGATCAGTATGCCGCAAAACAGCCCTACTTCGGAGACCACTTCCGGACTTTCCCTCACCCACCCTTGCGTCATCGGCCTGTAGAGGGATATAGCAGTTTGGACCCAAACTCGGGGGGCTTTGTAACAGTATGTAACAGTAAGGCGTGCCCAGAGAGTAAAGCCCTTGTCGCAATGACTTTAACAAAAAAACATGTGTGTGTATATGTATATGTATATGTATATGTATATGTATATGTATATGTATATGTATATGTATATGTATATGTATATGTATATGTATATGTATATGTATATGTATATGTATATGTATGTATATATATATATATACATATATATATATATATATATTCATATGCATGTTTTCTGAAAGCGTCATGTTTTTTGCTCGCAATATTGGGGAACCCGGAATTCCAGGCCACACATACATAGATGAATTCTGCAATGCTCCTGCATTCCCATACAAGTCCGATGACTCCCGAATTCCTGGGATGGGCCTTAGGGTTCCTTCAAAGGGCCTATAAGGGTTACTACAAGGGATCTATAAGGGTTTGTATAAGGGTTACTATGAGGGTTACTATAAGGGAACTATAAGGGTCCAAGGGTACTATACTATAGGGGCCTTAATAATTAGAATAGGATCGAGATCCTGATTCGTTCAGGAATTGGGGTTGCTGTTCCTTTTTCTCAGCTGAGGTTGCCAGTTCTGATCATCCTGAGCAAAGGCGCCGGTGAGATCAAGCCGCAGGCGGTGATCACGTTGTAGTTTATCCTAAGTGCTTCCAGGGTTTAGGACTTTCAAAGGATCTAAACCCACCGTTTAGGTTTTTGGGTTCAAAGGAGTCAAGTCACGTCGGATTTGTACACGACCCACGTGCCTTCTGCACTTGACTGCATGCCTCCATATATCCCGCCCACAACGCAAGATACGATCACCCAGAGGCTGCACTCCGCTGATGGTCAAACAGAATCACACGAGCTAAATAAACCTTGGCAATGCTCTGTTGCTTGCTTCTCTCCAACTACATCTCACTTACGCGGTTGGGTGTGAAGTGGCCAGGGTGGAACAAGCAGTACGAGCCTTGATTGACATATGCAAGACCTTGGAGGACTGTGGGGCTTCCGAGGGTTTCAGAAGCATTCCCCTGGGAGTTCAGCAGCCCATTCCTGCATGCGGCGGAGAGGCAGCTCATCCAAAGAGATCGTGTGGTAAACATGCCAGTGGAGGTAGCAAAAGCCTTGGGACTGTTGGGCTGTGCTGTGGCGCCGTGCAGCTCTGGTTCCTCTGAGGTGCGACACTGAATAGACCTGAGAACCTTCGTGGCTTTTGGCCAAGTATTTTTTTGTTAGGTAACCCGCCGCAACGACTGTAAAATGCGTCCCAAAATGACCTTGCAACTTATGCTCGGGATGCCGTATGTTCTTCTCCCCGCAAAGTACTGTACCAAGTAGAAACCCCAAGCGTATTGCTAGCAGAGAGGCCGAACACCACAGCCTGCACGATCAGAATTACGGCGAAAAGGTTGCACTGCAGACCTGGCACTCGGAGATTCCGAACGCAAGCTACGGTCTCAGTTTACAGTATGATGCATTGTTATAATTCCACCAGAAGAGGGCGTAGATGGGACCAGCATTGCTAATAAAAAGGATTCCTTTCTTGTGACGGCTCCTTAGCTCAGCACTGTTGGGGTCTTTGTGTAAGGTCGCCGTTTTCTCGGAAGGGGCCGAGGGGTTCCCGCTTCAGGGCCCTGGGGTTTCATGGTTTAGGACTCCGCAGGTTTACGGCTTCCGGGTTTGTGGGCTGCAGCGACGCAACGTGCAGTAGTACATGGGTCATGCTTGACAAACTTCGCCTACGTACACCAGTGACACAGGCAGGCTCGTCGTAACAAGTTCAGGGTTGCATCTTAAAACCACGGAGCCAAGTACAGGGTGGGAGGGTCCCGGAGCGAATGGTGTTCAAGGGAGCGGCTCGCTGGGTTGGTTGTGCACGGCATCAAAGGTAAGAATGTACATAAACAGAGCAGCAAATAGTCAGGGTGTGGAATTTGCCCGTGAGAACCTGGAACACGGAGACAAGTAGAACGAGGCTTCCGCGTCACTTGCTTCTGTCAAGGGGCTATCTGATCTATCGGACGCACTGATGATTATTCCAATGCCTTTCGCGGCACCTTTCATTGTGCTGGAGCTGTTCAGCGGCCAACATACCAGATTCAATCCTTAACCTAAACATCCGAGTGGCTTCTTCGGATTCTTCGGGCAGTGTCCTTTTCCATGCACCGCACCTGACACGGCAGTCCCACGCATTTCTGGCCAAGACCAGACAATAAAGGCGTCAACCTTCGATGACCGGTGGACGTGGCCAATAGATCACGCGCGCCTGTGTAACCGTAACAACCTACAGGGCCTGGAGAGTCCTACAAAGCCTTTAAGCCCCGATCCAATGAACTGGGAAATCCAACTTTCGTTCCCTATTCTACTACGGGTCTACAGTCTACAGCTGCGAGGACAACATCTGGCGATGCCATGCTGGGGTTTTGGCTGTTAAGCCGATCATGTGTAAGACCATAGCTTTTGGGTGCTGGCTCTATCATGTTGGGCATTGAAGTTGAGGATCCGGTGGTGAAGAAACAAGCACGCCATTGACGGCTTAGGATGGTGCTGAACTGCTGCCTTTTGGATTTCGGACCGAGGCGCCTTGTAGCACACGGCGGTGCAGCCGAAGGTGCCGGTGGAGATGATGGCGAAGGGAAGCGCTGTGCCAAAGTAAGGCACCTTGGGAGTTGCTTGTCTGCACTGGTGCTTCGGTAAGCATTACTTACACTCTGGAAAGCCGCTCTGTAGCAAATATAAACAGAAACCCAAACCCCTCAGTTGGTCGGTAGGCAGTTAGGTAGGCATGTGGGTACGTAATATAGTGTTGTTAAGAATAGCTTGCGGTCCGCTTGGAAGTAGATAGGGCCTTATAATCCACAGGGTCTTCTGTTATGCAGGATCTTGTGTTACATAGGGTCTTTTGAGATGCAGGGTCTTTTGTTACACAGTGTCTTCTTCTAGAGACGGTCTTCTGCTGGACGGGGTCTCATGTTAGAGAAGTCCTTAAATCTGATTGCTTTAGTTCGTGTTGTTGTGTATATACTGTAAACCGCGACAGCCTTGTTGTCAAGCTGCAGTGAGCATCTATATGTCTAGTATGAAGCTGTTCCTGCCGACGGGTGTATGACCGGGCTGAAAACCCGGAAGGGCACCGAAGTCCCGAAGCCTGGCCTTGTGGATCTTGGCTCCAAGGATTACTGCCGTGGCTAAAGTCAGCGACATGGTCTCGAAAAGATCCTTTGCTTGGAGGACCGGGGGGGGCTCGGAAGAGAGGCTATCACGGGTGTTCTCTACTTAAAATGCGAAACCGTTTTTCGTCAAGAGGCTTAGAGGCTTAGAGCTTCGGGCCACCGGTTTAGGGTTTTCGGGCGTCATGACTTTCCAGCCAGGGGCTTTGGCACGGCCCAGAGACAGCTTGTGCGGTAGAGACAAGAAGAAATCGAAGATGTTCTCCAGGTTCATTGAGACTCTAGCTCTGAGTTTGAAGGCTACAGACTAGCCCAGTCAAATTTCACACCAGAAGCTGCGAGGTCCCCAAACCCTAAGCCATCGAAGCGTAATCCTCTACACTTTCAGGCCGTGAACCCTACACCTCTTCTGCAAGCTATAGTTTGTTGAAACCTACGGCGTTTTTGTCAAAACTCCGAAGCTCTAAACTGCCAGTCCCGACTTTATTGACATCTGATCACATAATGCCGTGTTGTGGCGACAAGACGAAACAACTGAACCACACGACAGACTCAACTTGAGAACAACAAGTTACCGACTCACGAGTCTGTTCAATTCAGGATGGTCATGTTACACTTCGGCCATTTTGTTTCAGGCTTATGCCATTTCTAAAGTGTGTGAACCTAGACATGCTTCGGCAGCCGCTTCTCAACCCTCCAGACGGTATGCGCAATCTACTCCGACAGTTGCATGCGACAGAGTCCAAAGCTCAAGCTCCATCCACTAGGAATCCAAAGTCAACCAACTTCGCTCCAGGCCCTTTGTGGAGGTGCTGCGGACCACATGCAGCCAGAGCGGCCGACGACGTCCCACCTGCGGGACACTTTGGTTCGAAGGAGTTTCCCAGAGCTACGGCTTGAATCCGCAGAATAAGGATTGTGGTATGTTGCAGGCCATTGTAGGCTGCGATGAAAGGCTTTGGGAGCGTACCGGAACTATGCTATACAGGGATTCTTGTCCTTCAGTCTCCCGTGTAAAGACATCGCGACCAGAAGCATTCCGGGTCTGGTACATGCCCACATGCCCAGCCCGCAAGCTGAAACAACCCAAAAAATCCAACCCCTCGCCTCGAGGAAAATGCCAACCCCAAGGTCCAAAAAGCCGGTATCTGGCGCCCTAGCGTCCCTACGTTCAGCCCCGGCGTTCGTAATGCCAGCCGAGAACCTACATCGGCAATGTTCTCTCCAATGGCATCCAGATAGTTCACCGGATGCCTCAGAGCACCGAAAATGTTCAACTTTGATTGTCCAATCATGCCTCCATGCCGCTTCCCGAGCCGCTGGGGTGACCTCAGAACCTCCAACCTTCAAACAATGTAGACTTTTTGGCAAACTTACAGCAACATGATCGCTTCCGAAATCAAAGAACGTGCTATGCCATAGCAAGGCTCATCGTACCACGAAGGCCTGCTCAAACATCGTGCTGGGTCTCCCCCCGACCCAGAAGTACTCAAAAGCTTGTAGCAACATCTCCTGTGCTACACACCTGGTGTGCCACCGGAATGCTACCTTTAGCAATCTTACCCGAGCGAGCCCTAGGGTGTGAGGTCTTTCGGATACTCTCAGACTGATCCCAGGTGCATCGTCTTCAGCGTCTTGGCCATGTGTTGCTCAATCTCCGTCCGAATTTCCAGCTCCTAGCGCCAGAGTTCCAAGGCTAATGATCCAAGTTCAGGTGGTCAGTGGCATACCTTCCAGCTTTGAACAAAAACGACTCGCGGCCAAGGCTAAGCATCGAACTCTTAGTTTGCTACACTCGGCCCGGCTTGAACCCAGAACTCCGACCTCTCAGCCGAACCCTAAGGAAGACCCAAGCTGTAAATCCTCTTGCGCTGAGCGACATACACAAGTTGACCTAAGCCATTAAGGAACACTTCTTGCTGCAGGCCAAAACACGAAAGCACAACCTAAAACCCAAATCGGCTTGATTCGATTTCAGTGTATTGCCTGGACATACAAAGACTTGGGCATGGGTACCACTACAGACTTATGCAGTCCATGGCAGTCCTCAAAGCTACAGGCCTCCCACAGTAAGTGCAAAAGCGAAGACTTCCAGAAACCAAACTTACGCTTGCTCTGTGCCACAGTTTCTGGTTCAGAAGGGAGGATTACGAACTTCCGATTTGGCCTGCTCAGCCGTGAACCCTAAGCCGGAGCTTTTCTGGGTTCCAAACCGGAAGATAAACGATCCCACCTTGGCGGTGATGAACTGTGACTCGTGCATCTCATCGATTTTGGCCTCCTGCTTTGATTTTCTAGATAGGCTGCGACGTGTAGGGTTTGCGATGATGCAGGAAGCCGTCCATCAAGACATACAGCTCTGAGCAGGCAATGTGCCACGAATTAGGGCATGCATTTGCAAGCCTGAGCCCTGGAAGCCGGAGAACGCGAATTAAAAACTATACACCTCAGTCATCGCTGCCTCCCATAGCCAAACTCCACACGAGCCCTATGCTTGCCAAAGCCATTAAGTTTCCACCGAGACCGAGACCTGAGACAGCTTGATGATGTAATTACAAGGTTCCCTCCACCCCTGCTGCGTGACGGGCTGAAACTCTCCAACTCACAACACCCTGCCGAAATCTGCACAAGCTGCTGGATTGATCAGCGCGGCCGCTGCGACAGCCTTCTCGTCAATCTCACCATCCTTTTGTGCTATAGCTAATAAACTTTCTGAATCCTCTTCTAGCGCACATGCAGTACGAGCCGTGATGCTATACGTTCGGGAGCGAAGCCTAGCTGAAATCTTGAGCAAACTCGAGTCTACCTTCGGAGTTGTATTCCCAATTTCCAAGGATTGTGGTGGCTGTCATCGTCCGGGCGTCTGTACACACGCAGCAACTGCAGCAGCTACATTGCTTTGATCACCGGGTTTCGTTGCTCAAATACTCGCAACTTGTAAGCCACGACATTTGCACATGATGTGTGATGAATTAGGATGCCCTGGCACTTCAAGAATAGTCTTGCAGACGAGTCGAAATGACAACAAGGAATGCGCTCTTCTGCCGCCCAAGTGCACCATCCAAATCTTCGAGGCGCTTCTTCATCTCCGTAATCCTAGGACACTATACCATGCTATGCTCTACTGCATTCTACCATAATAGATAGCGTAATGCTACTCTGTAATAAGCTATCATTGAGCCCTGTCCGAAGTGGCCACAGCTTGTGATCTTGATGTCTTTGGGGCCTTGAGGGCCCAAAAGTGGGGCCGGTTTCGTAGATGCCTAGCACCTGTAGCCCAAGCTTAGAGACGGACCTCCTACCAAGGAGGGTTAAGGCCGAAAAACTGCTCAGCAAAATTGCAGATAACGCGAAACAAGCAGGTTACAGTTCCAGGATGTAGACTCTTCTGCCTGTAAGCTTTAGCTCGCTACAGTTCGAAGGCCATGAAAAGTGAAAATGATCACTCCGGACCTCAATGGACTGACAAAGGGATGTGAAAGCAATGCAAAGTCTACACCGAGTACTCAGAGAAACCTAACACTGGCTATCCGCTGCAGTGCGCAGCGTCCCGAAAACCTTCAAGTGCTCAGCAAATTCTAACTGTAGGAGGAGGGTGTGAAGCCCCGAATTCGTGATGGCCAGGTTACTCATCCTGGTTCATGTCATCGTCCATCCCGCCTGTGATCTGGTCTGCCACGAAATCCTCGAGCCATGGTTGTCTGGGGTTACGCGGTTACGCTTTCAGTGAGAGCCTCGAGATGCCTCGAGGAATCTGATCTAAGGATTGGACGGACGTGGTACAGGCTTTAGGGATTGCACCCTGAGGCTTCGAGACCATGGGCTAGGCCAAAGTTTGTGCGGTTAGAGTTGGAGCCTTGAGGTTTTTCGGAAGTTGATCCAGTGGCTTGCCAGGTTCTGGGGTTGTACAGCCTGCAGAACTTCAAGCTGTCAAGCATCCGTTGCATGCCAGCTCACAAATTAGTGCCTCGAGCTTGTGTTCTCGGTATCTACCCACGAGGTTCAATGCTGGTGCCTTAACGGCTCAGTGCTTGATGATTACGGAAATTGAGCTCAGCTAGAAAGAGCAAACCCAGTCATTCTAGGCTAAAGTCTTAAGTTGGAGGCTTTTGGTTTTTGAGGAGAAGTACAGTCCTTTGCACTTTGCCTTGTTTGCGTCCTGATGCGGTTGATATCGTTGCTGCCTTTGTGGAGCTGCTGAAGGCACCACCTGTCGCCGTCTTTATCCTACCAGCATTCTGAGATGCTACAACGAGAACCTAGTACTTACTAGTACTAGCACTGGCGCTAGCACTGGCACTATCACTAGCACTAGGACTCATAACTCGTACTAGTAACTCGAACTCGTACTACTACTACTACGACGACGACTACGACGACGGCTACGACTGCGGCTAGGACTACTACGACGACTACGCTCATCACCAGCTCTGCCAACATCACCACCACCTGCCACCAGCGTCAGAACAGTCCGCACTGCGCTCTCCACGAATGCCTCAGCAGGTGTCAGGCCCTCTGAGCTCCTCACACTTCCAATGTCCGAACCCTTGGAGAAGATGCCGCCGCCGACGCGAATGTAGAAGGAGATTAAACTGACACCTCGATGGGGTGTAGTGAGTCAAGCTTTCAGCTACAGGTTTAGGACTGATCCGTACGGCGATGGGATGAGTTCGCATGTAATCAAAGAAAGCAGAGGCCGCAAGTGTGCACAATACCCGGGTCCTGGAATGGAGTTGCCAAGTTTGGCTCATAGAGACTTCTTAAACAATTGAGGTACATCTTGTGAATGCTAGGCTAGACCTTTTCAATCCACCGCGTAGAAGATGCTGGCCTGCACCGAAACCAACCAGGGAGTTTGCGTCGCCAACCTCAAAGAAAGGATTTGTGTAGCGGCGGGGGGGCTCGAGATTTCGGGCTCAGGCTTCGTAGGGTCGAAGCTCTCAGCGAGCCCGTAACATCGTAACAACCCGACTACTTCGGTACATGCATGTGCTTGTACAACTCCGTGCGCATATGCCGTATCAGTTGTTGCGTTTACAGTTGAAGTCGTGGCGCTAACTCTCACACCTTGGTCAGGTCTTGGGATCGGTTTCCCTGCAATGCAACCGCATTCTCAACACCCAAGAACAGGGCAACACAACAGCAGTTCAAGGTACTGGTGGTAGTAGGTTGTGCCGAGTCACATAGCGCGCAATCATTAGCATTAGTCGTCGTCGTAGTAAACTACTACGACGACTAAGTACTCGTCGTAGTTCTTGTAGTAGTAGCAGCAGCAGCAGCAGTAGTGGTAGTAGTAGTAGTAGTAGTAGTAGCAGCAGCAGCAGTAGTAGTAGTAGAAGTAGAACTAGAAGTAGTGGTAGTAGTAGTAGTAGTAGTAGTAGTAGCAGCAGCAGCAGCAGTAGTAGTAGTAGTAGTAGTTGTAGAAGTAGAACTAGAAGTAGTGGTGGTAGTAGTAGTAGTAGTAGTAGAATTAGAAGTAGTAGTAGTAGTAGTAGTAGTAGTAGTAGTAGTAGTAGTAGTAGTAGTAGTAGTAGTAGTAGTAGTAGTAGTAATAGTAGTAATAGTAGCAATAGTAGTGGTGGTAGCAGTAGCAGTAGCAGTAGCAGTAGCAGTAGCAGTAGCAGTAGCAGTAGCAGTAGTAGTAGTAGTAGTAGTAGTAGTAGAAGTCGGAGTCGTAGTCGTAGTCGTAGTCGTGGTCGTGGTCGTGGTCGTAGTCGGAGTCGTAGTCGTAGTAGTGGTAGTACTACTAGTAGTAGTAGTAGTAGTAGTAGTAGTAGCAGTAGTCGTAGTCGTCGTATTTGTTGTAGTAGTAGCTCTAGTAGTGGTAGTTGTGGTAGTGGTGGCGGTAGTAGTCGTCGTCGTACTCGTCCTACCAAAGCCCGAGCTGACTTCGGGTTTCAGGGTTAGGCTTTGGGATGCAGACCTCGCTCTTAAAGCTGCTGCTTGCACAGGTCGTCGGGACAGGAGTTGGCACCATTGGAGCCTGAATATGGGCTGTTGTTACGAAGGATCGCCCTGAACACAGTACATGGTACCTTAGACCAAGATTTAATCGGCAAACCTGCCGGCCAGCAAACTTCCCCTTCAGTGCGAGCTTTCTGTAGAACGAATCTTACCCTGCCTTTATGTTGTTCACCGGAAATAAGCGGTTCTACAATCGAATGTCCCGAATCGTGCCTTTCTGGTGGTTTCAACTTTGCACAGCCCACGAATTACCGGTGCCATAGTGGATTTTGCAGCAGCGAGGCCACCATCCAAACCAGCACCACACCCACCTGGCAGGGCATTCCATGTGGCAAGGTCGGCATGGACAAGATGATGGTGATGATGAGGAGGAGGAAGAAGATGATGATGCCATGATGGTCAGCTTCACCATCATGAAATCATCGTCCTAATCCTCATCTGCATCTGCATCTCGTTTTGCTCATGAGTCATGAGCGCCCAACCACCGAACTAATCTTCGCCCTAACTGAAAAGCCGACTTGTCGCTCTCAAAGACGCGAAGAAGAGTACCACCATGCAGAACGACTAAGAGTTCGCCTGACTCAATGCAAAGCATCAGGCGCAAGAATGGCACCGCCTGCGCCGTGCTGTGTGCACCGAGACCTCCAATGGCGCCGGTTCGGACCTCCCGATGCCGTTGCTGCGAGTGTCCCAGAACCCTCAAGATCACACATGGGAAAGCCTGCAATACACAAAACCCGAACCCTAAAGCCTACCCCCAAATACCCCTAACATGTACACTGCGCTGTCGCGTGGGTAGTTCTCGACATTGTGCAGTACTACTCCACTACTGCTGCAAGGTGTTGGGCCCTCCAGGATTTAGGGTTTAGTATGTCGAGGAACTCTCCATGTCAGCTGCAGGGCTCCAAGTTCTAGGTCTTCCGGGGCTGTAGGATTCCATCACCTACCCTCAAGGTAAGCACGGACAGCTCAGCATTTGGCGAAGAGAGCCAACACCTTAAACTGTTCCACACTTAAACCTTCAACATTTGCTGCCATGACATTCAGACTATCAGCACAGTTCTCGCTACGACAGTTGCGTTGCAGTCAAACTGGCTTCATGACAATGCTACTAGTATCGCCGAGAACTGCTGTGAGTGTAGGCTGCACAGTCCCGCGGTCTATAGTGGCTTGATGTCCTTACAACTTCCCTTCGCGAACACCACAAGGAAGACCTGGTCAAACATACTGAGAACCGGTGATTTGGGATGTGAAGCTGAATGGAGCGCATTCAGTACAGCGGCGCCAAATTGCAAAGAGCCAGGGAGATCGTAGTTCATGGCCTGAGTTGTGCGTCAGATGGGCACATCAATGAAGAGGGGCCTAAATTTCAAGACTCTGACAAGGATATGTTGGATGGAGTTGAGAGAATACGTGCAGCCCTTGCTTCGTTTGCTCTTGCGCTCGAGTTCTTCGAAGGGTGGGTATGGCATTAAGTGCTAGGGTTGCGCCGAATCGCTACTTGCCAGTTTACCTCGCCCCTTGACTTCCGGAAGTCTTGCATAGACCTTTCGAAACTCCTCGGACAAGGACAGAGTTTGGGTTTCGTCGCGCCAGGCAGGCAAGGCTCTGCACATGTCCGTCACGCTAGCTGGACCACCGGGTAGATTGTGCCATAACAGAACTTTTAATAGGAACATCGCAGAAAGTGCTTAGTAAGAAATTATAGCACACCTCAACCCAGGATCCTGTGCCAGAGGCATTGCTCCAGCTCTCACCGACAGGCGTCAGTCTCCGCAACGGTTTGTGCTGTAGCCACACTTGACAATGCCAAAAAACAGTGTCACAGACATAACTAAGGAAGAGTCATGAATAAGTGATCGCATGGAGGGGATATGTCAGCTTGACAGGGTGGCACAGCTGCGACTCACGAGCCTGTCGTCTTGCAAGCAGCTCATGTTGCTGGCCACAATTATAATTAGATGCGACACGCTTGCCGCAAGCTTCTCCAATCAGCCAGTGCCACACACCTCTTTCGCAACGTCCGAATTGCACAATTTTTAGTCACAAGGAGAATGTGTAAGACTATCCATGTCGATGAATGTTCTCGTTGGTAGCCGCTAGCAAAGAGCAATGGCAGCCCTGCGCTGGAAGGATATTCGCGAGTTAAGACTTGATGCCTCGCAGTCCCTTGTAGCTGCACCTTTCTGGAGCTGATTGAAGAAGCTCGACAAGTTGCCTGACCCTTCCGTGCATCCAACTTGGCATTAATCGCACCCGCAAGCGAAAAGTTATCACTCTCGCTTACAGTATGCAAATCACTTGTGGAAGGCACGTCTGGGTCAAGAACTGTGCATCCGCCGACGAATTCCGATGCTGGTTCAACAGCCGGCCTACAGGCTCCGTGCTTCGAGGAGGTTTGCTATGTTTGCTTCGCTAATCAACTGCAGCATGTGTGTGTGTGTGTGTGTGCATACATGTAGAAATCGACCAGCGCCGGGGATCCGCCGAGCCATGTGCAGTGGCTCGGCAGCTATATGCGCAGCACATCTGGCATGCGAACAAAATGCGAGGGTCCCTGCGACCCAGGAGCCTTGCATGGAATTGGATGGCGGGACAAGCACGTGTGGAAGTGCACCCAATATTTAAGCTCGCAACCCCTGGCGCAGTAAGTCTCTAAAGATAGTGTGACCGCTCTACAAGTCTACCGTCAGCTGGATACCTTCACCTTTGACCCCGCCCCTCCGAGACTCTCTGAACGCAACACAACTCAGCAGCTTAAAGCAGCAGCCAGGAGGGTTGCCACGGCCCCGAAAGCTCTTGCGGGGGCTCCACTCATCTCCGATGAACCACTGCCAGCTCCTGCGCCACCTGTGTCTGCGCAGTTCGGGTAGCACTGCAGCGACTCAGTCTTGCATGGCCGGGCGCAGATCCCTGGCATCGTTTCGTAAATGGTCTGCTGGGCTCCCTTGATGCTGCTGGCATCTGCGAGCGCCTCTGGTGCCGTCTGTGTGTTGTTGCCCTCTAAGAGCCACTCGACGAAGTCGTAGCACTCCTCCCCCGGCTGCGCCGTGTGGCACCACTCCTGGATAGAGCACGGCATTTGGCAGGATCCCACTTGCTTCTGGGCAAGAGACATTTGCACCTCTGCAAAGGAAGACTCGGACGTGACGCCCGGATACCTGCCAGGGTGGTTGTGGAGGCCATACTCTTTCGCATAAGACACGTGGCTGTAGCATTCCTCGCCAGGCTGTGCATCGTGGCATATTCGGAACGCCAGCGAAGCCACAGACTCGTGGTTGTTGCAAGGGCCATTGCAATGGTCAGGATCTTCTCTCACGAAAACGTAGAGGCGGTAGTTGCCGCCCATCGTCAAACCAGTTGCGTTGAGCTGCACCTCTAGACCCAGGGCGCTGGTGTTTTCCACACTGTCCACAAACACGTCCGCCAACAAAGGATTGGTAGCTTCGAACGCACCACCAAGCGCGTCTGACACGACCTCCTCGGTTACCACCCACACGGCCGTCAATGGTTGTCCCTGCGCCTGGCTCGCGTTCACCGTCAGGGAGACCACCTCCTGATCCACCGAGAAGCGCATGCCTTCCAAGGCCTCTCCGTTGAGCTTCACGTTGTGGAGGCTTGGGGCTTTACTGCTCTTTTCCTCACCTGTCCAGCACTTCTGCAGAGCACCAAGAACCTCGGCTTCGCAGGTGGTACAGTTGGCCTTGGTTAATTCCGTGGTGACCTCGGGCCACTCATTGAAGAGGCCGTACCAGGTTCCTGTCTTCTCCCACTTCCATCCCCACACGAAGGCGAAGGCACCAATGCACTGTGGATCAGAGAAGCATAGCTCACAGGTTGCCATATACCTCGGAACCTTCTCTGTGGAGCTCTCCTCGATATAGGAGCCCCAGGCTGTGACGGGCGAAGCCCAATGCCCTGTCGGGCCAAACTCCATCAGGGCATATGGCAAGGTCACTCCCAGACGCTGCAAGGTCGTCCCAACCTTCAGCGAGTCCTCCCCGTATGCATTGATGCCGAGGAAATCCAGGGACGTGGCAATCCGCGCGATCATTTTTACCTTCTCATCATGAGCCCCTGCTAAGACCGTGCCCACCGGGTGCATCGGGTCCTCTTCCTTCACCTTCTGGACCAACCACTCCAGCCGTCTCCAGGTGCATTCTGAACCTTTAGTCACCTCCGTGGCGAACTCGATCTCGTTGCCGACTGTCCACCAAAGGATGGACGGAGAAGCCTTGAAGGCTCGCACACCCTGCAGCACGCGATCCAGCTCTGTCTGCCAATAGGGGTCGTCATCCATGTCGCTGCAGTCCTCGTAGTCTGACTTGTTGTGCGAGAGCCAAATGCCAGCGGAGAACTTCAGGCCCAAGGACTCCGCTTCTTCGATGGTGTCATTCAGCTGGTCAAAACCCCAAGTCCTCAGCGCTTCAGCGCCGGATGCGGCCGCAGCCGACAGATGCGTGAAACCACCTGCACCACGAACGGTGCCGTGGAATCCCAAAAGTCCTTCATCTGAGACCACCTGCCAACTTCCGGCAGTCTGGTTGAGCCAGACATGCTCAGCAAAGGCGATGGTGCCCAGCAGAGGCAGTGCTCGGAAGAAGCTTCTTGCCATGCGTGCACGGTCTGTACTCTGCCGCCGCTGTTGCGGTGGCGCTACTTGAATTCAGGGCCACGTTTCGAGCTGTGGTTTAGGTGCCCTGAGCCTTGCCACGGAACTTGCATAGCTCGGTTAGTGATGAGTGTGTACTACAACCACTGCAAAGAAGCTGTAAGACTCTGCATGGGACGATGCCGTGCACTTCTGCGATTGCACTCCGACACCACGGCACCGTCAATGCGCTTCTGAAGGCTGTGCTGCAACACCACTTCTCGACCAATTGCCGCAACTACCACTGTTCAGATACCATTAGCCTACCCATAGGCCCTTACTTAAAGGATCATGGGACTTAGTAACTAGGGTTATAATTAGGGTAACTATACTTATAACCCCAATTAAACTACTTATAACCTTACTTACCAAGTACCTTATAGAATTCTAAATAGGAACCCCCAAGAGGAACTACTATGGGGCCTATGGGGAAAACATACTAAATCTCCCAACCCTGGGCTCCTGGCATGCGTCAGTCTGGGACCACCTGAACCCCAACATTTTCATGTATAGGAGTGTGTTGAGGGTATGGCTTCAGGGTGGTTCAGAGACGTCTCACACTCCCGGAAAGCAGATCGAGGTACTGAGGAACCTCGGACTTGTAGGGCTTCGAAGCAATTGAAGCTCAAGCCCTGAGCACAAACCTTAAGGGAATTTAAGTACCTAGTGATTCCGGTGCTCGCGCTCGGGCAGCCCAGGCGAGACGTGTTTTATGAATTCTCTATGACGTTACACTGTCAAGTGCAACTTAAGTTGTCGGATTTTAGTTTTGGCATTTACCGGCATCATGCAATTTTTCGAGAAGTACGGACTCAGGCAGCAAACCGAGCCCAGTCTAACAAGAATTTTACTCTAAGTCAGACAGCTTCGGTTGACTGTTGGCAGTCAGCCTTCCCATGTCCTTCTACGTTGGAGAACTTGGCGTTTAACGACTTGCATGTTGGTGGTCGCTCTGAATCTCTGAACACTTCACAGATCAAGCCCTAGGATCCTTCAGTTCTTGATGCTCCGGACATCAGCATTTGAGATGGTAGGGCTCCATGGCTTGCAGTCTGGGGTGGGCAGTTTTGGGGTTTCAGGCCCTACACTCTTCCAGGGCACCTTCGAAGTTCATGTTGGTCCCGAGATTGGCCTGCGGAATGGCGTTTGGCATTCTGACCGTCTCTCGTCTCTGCAGGATTTCTCGTTGCTGGAATGGTGCACGATCAAGGTCCCACGTCACTTGTCTGCAGCGCTAAACCAGACTCAACAAATCCGAACACCGGCACTCTGACACAACTTGCTGCTGCATTGAGCAGTTGATTGGCTGGGTTTACGGAATTCAAGAACCGGCTAGTGACTGTAGAAGCCTTTTTGTCAACTTTTCATAATTCAACTTACAGCTGCCAGTTTACAGCGAAGCTCCTCCCGGTCCTCGCAGCCGCTAAATCGTAAAAGCTGAACCCCGGAACCCCCAACCTCTCTCAACATCCTTGGACGCCGTGACCCAACCACAAAGCTCTGAAGACTTCACAAGCGCTGAAGTGAAGAAGCACCACTCCCACTTGAAGCTGGCCGTTCGTTGTAACTATAGATCGTCGTGCTATAAAGTAAACCCTAAATTCCAAACACTCCAAACCCTTAAAGCCCTACAACCCGCCTCGTTGAAAACCCTAAACCCTCATTACTTGGCTCCGGCAAGTCGCACAGAACATGCAGCTTGAAGCGCCGACGAGCATGGAGATGACAAAGGGCCCACCAGCCGTAAGCCAAACTACCTCTTCTTCTTAAACTGAGTCTGTTGACGAAAAGAACTCCAGCAGGTGGCACCGGCTGCAGGGTCTAAGACATCTTAGAAAACAGTACTAGTTTTGCGGATGGAATATGATGGCTTGCAGGCTTAAGAATATGTAAGTTTCATCGTTCCACGTCCTGGTCAAGCCTTAGGTAAATTATGTAGGCACACATGCACACAGACATACATACGTCCGTGCATACATACGGAAATACATATCTATCTGTCTATATATATATATATATATACATATTTCTTTTGGTGCGTAACGGTATGTATGTCTCATTGCATTCCCGTTCTCCGTTTCAAGGCCCTTGGCCCTTGGGTTCAACGGACATCCGAGCAGCAGAGGCAACGACAACGACCACGATGAATATCACCGGCATGCTTCGCAGAAGGTACCTGGACAATGTGGCAGAACCCAGGTGGACAGTCTCGGGCTGGAGTTAAGGCTTACATGGTTGGAAACCATGCTTGAGCTTCTGTGCTGACCATCACATCGGAATTACCGTCGAAATATGTGAGAATTCGATGCTAACTCTGAACCGTTGCCTAAGCCCTTAGCTCGAAGTGCCTATGTCCCGGGCAGCTTGAGCCGACAAAGTCTCACAAGAATCCGCTAAATGTATGTGTGGAGTTCTAAATCCCTAACTCCGGCTTAATCATTTGCACATCCACGAGACCCCTTTCGGGGAAATCATCTTTCAAGCACCACTATATGTAGCATGAAGTGGATCACTGACGCCTTCCCAGTCAAACGCATAAGGAGCCCCTTAAGCACTTGCCAGCACCAGCATGAACCCTATCTCACATGTGGGCATTCTTCGTCCGAGATGCACATCAACACCCTTCTTTACCAGCTCGCCCATTTGCATGACCGTCTCGGAACCTAAAGGATCGGGGGCTCTTAGCTTCGTGGGCTCAGGGTGCAGCGGTTTGGACTTCAGACGAACAGTTCGGCAAGACAGCTGGTCAATGGAGACCTCCCGCTGTGGCCCCCTAGCTGCTCTGTGCCCGCAGGTTCCGCAAGTTTCCTCTGGGTTCAAGGCTACAGTTGGTTTTCTAAGAGATCTATACGGCTCTTCGATCTGTCGTCATCCCGCAGCTTCGAATCCTGCAAATCTACAAACAAAGCTGCAAACATCAGCCCCTGCAAGACCACTGAAGCTGTTTGCCAGGAATTCTTCCCCCGAAAACACACCCAAACCCCGAAGCCAAAATTTTTAAACCCTCATTCTGCCACGCCGCACTAAACGAACAACATCCAAATCCAATAGCAGCAAGGCACCGACGTCCTGCACAAGAAGCTCCGAGCAGAAGTAGGCAACCTGGAGTGCAGGGCTGCTGGGGTTTCAAGACCTTGCATGTCATGAAAGATTTCGAGTGCCGGTCTTGCGTGTCAAGGAGGAGAGGAGAATTCTTCTGGTCGAATTCTTCTGCCGGTAGTTCGGCTGGTCGACTATACAGATGCGTCGCATACTGAAATGGACCATTCCAGGCGTAGAGGCGCAGATGTAACAATCCACGACTCTCTCTCTCTCTCTCTCTCTCCCTCCCTCCCTCCCAGGCATTCACCCCAACACCCAATCTGACCTCCAGCCAAAGCCTCGTAAAAGCTCCGGCCGGTCCTCTAGCAAATCTGTGTTTGCACTGCAGCTCAGAGCAGGAAGTCCGCTTTCTTCGAGCTGCCGAAGTACTGGCTTAGGTGCGCAGGCCGAGGGACTTGTATGGTCTGGCGGCGATAACATCAAGGTTTCCGGCCAATTCACTGATCTGGCATATAAGCTTTTAAGTCCGGCATTTCGGTTGTGCTTCCTCCGGCGTGTCATCTTCTGAGCCTGGACCCATGCCCAAAACAGCCAGAGGCATGAGCCCTCTCGCGTGATAGCTGTTCAGCACTCCGTCTTGTTCGATCTACCATTCACCCTTGACTTCATGGTCTCACTCTCTTGGCCACAACTCTGAGGAGACTTAAAAGGAAAAATGCGAACACCATCGCGGATTTAGGGGCCCATGTGCGCTTGATGCACTGTAGCTTCGACGCGAGCCAGATATGTACCAGGATGTACCATGTCCAAGGATGCACATTCATTACGGGCTATCAAGCCTAAACCTTCCCTCATCGGCTCGTGTGGCCTCGCCGTGTCGAATAGATGCTTGCTTGAAATCTGGCATATTTGTGGGAAGCCGAAAGCCGTCAGAAGGTGCAACATCGGTTCGCATTGCAAAAACACCCGCGGCCGAGATGCGGTAAAGAGCCCAAAGCAGCCACAAAGCCTGTGCTTCAGGGGCTTCGGGCTTGCAGGGCCTAGGGCTCTTCGGGCTCGGGCAGGGACCTTCCTAACACACGAGCTCGGGAACACGCATTGCAAGCCGCAACTTACGGATGCGGCTTACATGTGCAGTTAGGCAGTCCTTATGCTGCGTTTAAGCAGTACGATGACACTACCCGACCTTGAATGTCTTCTTCCGACAAACGTTCTCTGCTCAGACAGCCAGGGAGAGACTCTCCCCCGAACACTACGATACTACAACTCTACAAAACCCAAACGGCCAGGGCAGCTCGCGCGGGGGTTATAGGGTCTCGGGTTTGTGAAATCTTCGGACTGCGTGTTATGCCCGGGAATTTCGGAGCTGAGGAAGCCTTTTGAGTTGCTCAGCCTTTCGCCGCTCACGCTCAGGAAAAACACCATTTCAGCCTGACCAAGCCGGTGTAGGGCCGTGGACTGAAGCTGCGATTTAAAATACGCGCAGCTGAATCCTACAGCCCTCAACACTGAAGGGACTAAGACACCAAGCGGCAGGGAGTAGAAGAGCATGAGCTGCGGCATAGCGTAGCGAAACCTCCTGAGGACTTGATGTGGACTGGGGTGCACAAGCGGCTTGTGGGTATTGCTCGAACTTTGGGTGTGTGTGTGTGTGTGTGTATGCCTCAATGGGAGTCAAAAACCTTGCGGACTTGTGGAGCCCAGGGGTGGTTCTGAACTCTTACTTGGCTTAATGCTTTGATGTCTCTGCACTACACTTGCAGAGCTGCAGCTCACCCTGCACTTCGAAAACTTCGACAGGCAACTAGCATCTAGCCAACCAGTGTAATTCAATCCTCTGGGCAGTATGATTTCAGAAAACATGGTCCCTTGACAGTCGAGTATCTCACCGATCTTCCGCTCCGGGGCATCGTTGGGTTGCT